AATGCTTCTGGAGTTATATTGCAAAACTTGGCGTCTCCGTGAAGGAATCCAGTGAGGTTTGGGTAGAATGACGAGACAAGAGGGTCCAGTGTTCCATTATGTGGTAAGAGATGTAGTAAGAGAGGCCCTAGAGCCTCGTCTCTGGTCTAATGCAGTCAGGTTCTGGTAGCTTGATAGAACTGACTGGAGAACGCACTATGTTGAAATCTGAAGTTGTTCCATTCATCCAACTGGTGTAGTTTCCCAGCTGGTATGTCAGTCTCTGCAACGCTTCTTGATATTGGTGGCGAGCAAGGAATTCTTCACTGTTGTGACTGGTGAGGAGCATGATCATGAGCAAAGCAATAATGAGCGACGAAAGCGAGCTTCTTTGCCGCTCAGGCTGCTGGTTCCCGGTCCCAGCTTCCTCATCTCGCTGTGAGTCCATCGTTCGAGGGGGAGGGCTACTCAACAGTCGCACGATGATAGTACGACGTTGGCGGCTGCAGCACTCAGCTGTTGACGCAGCGGCGCAGCTTGACGTTGGTCACAATTGGTGACACGAGTTGTCACACGTCCCTTCTTCCAACCATCATGTTCAAAAATCAGAACACGGGAAGCCGTCGCTGGCAACACTTCGAACAAGCCTTACAACTGGCCGTGCAGAGAGCTGCACATAAGTGGACGTGAGCACGATCTGTTTCAATGTTCGAATCCTCTTTGATATTATTAAGTCAGCTATGAAGACTTCGCAGAATGTTTCCCTCAGTACGTCGAGGAGGACAAGAATGGGTCTTCAACAACATTCAACTCTATCGCAGAATACATAGAGACCGAGTGCCTCGTAATTTACGCGTCTTCTATTCTTTGGACGCGTCTCATGCGGGTTTCTTTCAGCGCGACCTCGAAAAGCTATTCGAAGAATACAAGGTGCAAGACAACGTAGACACCCTACACACAATTGTAACGGACGCAAAGGGGCGTGTCGCCAATGGTGACGAACCGAGCACCGATGTATGGAGGGAGGATCTTCACCCAAGGGCAGCTACAAGTGCACGGACTGCTCCTTTGTTGGAGGCAGAAGCTACGCGACTGAGGGAGACATTGGCTACGGTGAGCCTCCTGCGTTATCAAATCGAGCTCTTTGATCATCTTCAATTCGAATCGCTTCAGATGCAAGCACGGACGTCCAGTATCCAGACAGAGTTGGAGGAAAATGTGAGGGTTGCAGATGAGGCTGATGAGCGAGCCAATGAGCTTCTCGACCAATTACACACCGTATGTCTCATGTCATTGTCTCCTACACAGTTCGTTCACATCCCTCTCACAGGTCCTCGAGAAATGGAAGGAGGTTCCCATGGACAAGATCGAAGCTTGGACAGTGCAGACTCTCGAGGCATCACAACCCGCCCAGCCCGGATGAAACAAACCCAACCCCCTATACTCGGCTGGCATCCTTTCTTTGAGAGTCACTCACATTGTTTGTACAATTAGCGCGAATGTAATTGTGGCAGGGCCCAACCTTTTTCGTTCCCTCCAGTTGCCTCACGCATCGAAGCATTGAAAAGTACTGCACTCTCACCCGCCGAGCTCCAACAACCCCCGCTCGACTTCCATTCACCACTCTGATTCAGCGCTGCCAGGTTTCAAAGTCCTTGCCGCCCTCTCGCGTTTGATGGGCAGACTCGTCCATCAAGTTGGACACGTGATGTAATGTCTACGCCTCGAGATCAGAATATCCCCCGTGTATGTATATGCACTCTGCGTATGCCTTGCCGTCAACGCATGGGTTTGCGCCGGCTTCGGACCTGTGCTTCGAGCGCCTTTCTCGACTCCTCTCCCGCTCGAAATTGTTTGCAAGTGAAGGCCTCTTGAGTTGAGAGGCCATCGCTATCGTTTGAATGAAATGAAGACCGACGCCTCACCGACATTACGAACAGTGCCTTTGCTCTAACCATCATTGTGGTTCCACTCGACTCATCCCCCGTCAACCCTACCTCGAGATACCCCGAAGATTGTGCATCAGAACACACAGCTCACTCCGGTTCGCTTCCAACTCAAACTTAGGACCGAGCGTCGCTGGCCCTCAACTCTCGAGGCCACGGTTGAACTTCGGGTCTCGGAAGTATCGGGCCAAGCCCCCTCCTTAGAACCCAATCCCACAATGATGCGCACTTGAAGGCTCTCGAGTCTCGCTGCGGTTCGACTCAAAATTCATTCGCCAACCGGTAGTGGACGATCGACTTGGTGATAGTTTGAGCCAGAAGGTGATGGGTATCAGCTCGAACTTCCGAATGCCGGTAACGCCGCGAGAACGAACCTCGCTCCTCCCCATTGCCAGAGCCAAAACACTCGTACGTTCTTGATCTCCCTGGCACCCTCCAGTCAGTTTGGAGTTCGTCCTGCCCGCTGCCTGATGCGCCCGTTTTGATGTGTCGGTATTTTGTGACCGTGACTGTGGCCGAAGGGTCCCCTTGCTGATGGTCAATAGAACGAGGTCCACCGACATGTACGGGGCGGGAACCAAAGCGGGGTGATTTGTCTTGTCAAGAGACCACAATCCCTACAACAGATACAGATCAGCTTAGAGTCCGAAATGTGGCTATCAACTGCGTGTCAAAGCAAGCACATGTCCAACTTCATATGTGCCTGGCCGCGAGTCGAAAGCAACTGTTCACTCGATTCCTCGAGCCGGAAACTCCGATTGCGTGGGATGGGGCTGGGAGTACCACCCTCCAACCGGCCACCCTCTCCAATGGTATGGGTAGTTCTTCCACCGTGAGCACTTCATTCATGACTGTGAGTGTGGGACGCCGATGACATCGAACTCTCAGGAAACTGTGACAGCAGGCGCGGAACAACGGACGTTTCCATGCACGGCTGAACACCACTGAGCAAGTGTCGGTAATCAGGTCTCCGTTCCCATACCGGTTCTGAGTACAACACCGGATGTACCCCATCACAGCCATTCTATGTATCCGGGATACAAATACGTAGAGCGTTCCTGTGTCGTCGATTGTGGGCTGCTCTCATGTCAGGCTTTATCAGGAAGATTGGTTTCCGCTGTTCTCACACTCACAGCGACTCGTCGGCGTCCTGGAAACGCTGACTTACTGATGATAGATCGGTGTTTGCGACTTCCCGGTTGAGCACGATCCCTCGCAAGAGGAGTCGTCGGGATACCAGTTAGGCGATGTATGATCGGGACACCCTCCATAGCGCTTGTGAAGCCGACTCGGAATAAATCTCTCGAATTGGATTCCGTTGGCCGCAACGAGCACCAGTTCTGGACCGACTGGTAGTGACCCGCAGACGCAAGCGAACATCGGAAGGAATAAGAACCACCTGTAAGTGGGTCTCTGAACTACGAGCCCAACGATGTTTTAATTATATCATTTCAGCCGTAGTCTGATTACTATGCTTCGTGGATCAGTAAACCGGCGATCGCGACTGAATAGGGGTGCTTCCCAAACCCTCGAGTTGTGCGGAGATCGCTGAGGCTCGCCTTACACAGATTGAGTGACTCTGGGTGTGCTCAGAGCTCTTACCAGTGCTCGGAACTCGGACCTCTGCTAGGCCACCCCTTTCCGGAGACTTTCATTGCGACTCCGTTATCCTTCTCCCGAGCCCACTTTTCGACGTTTCAGCAGTGGGCGTCTACTCGGACCGACTCTGATAGTTGAGTATCAAAGGATATACTGGTGGCTGATTTGACCCGTGAACAACGGCGTTCGCTAGTCACCCGTTTTATCAACTTGCCACTTGTACCTAGTCGACTGAAGAAGGCACTAGAATCAGGCAGAACAATAGTCCGCGCGTGATACTTGCCTGACAACCCCGAAGTTCTCGCGAGACGAAACGTTGATTCTATCATCGTCCTGCGTGTCCATGAACCGCTGGGACACGATCGCACACGACCCGAAATGTCGCTAGTCGTGACTTGAAGTTGTCATCAAACGGAGTGCGGTTGAAGAGTACATAGGGCGATTCTTCGGATGTCTCTATCGCGACCTCCCGCCAAGCTGGTTGAGAAGTAATCGCTCTTGCTGACGAATGTGGGCTATCTAGTGAGCGACGGAAGCCCAAATCGCCGGAGGGCTAAAGCCATGGTTTCCACTATTCAGTCCGAGGTGGCGTAGACGAGATATCCGAGGAGAGGTGTAATTGTCACAACGTCAAGGAGTATTAAGCAATTTCTATGTATGAGCCACAATTTTCAGCGAGAAACATGTCAAAGTTGTTTCCACAACCTACAATTTGTTATAATATTGCTAAGTTCCCAGAAGCCCTATCATGTCACCCAAGTTCACCGAGAGCTGTTGCTGTTGCTATTATAACGCGTCGTGTGATTAAGCTGACAGCACAATTCAACCTAAGTCAACGACGATGGCTACTCGCGAGTGTATTCGATATCCCCTCCTTTGGGCCTGAGCCTAGGGGGCATGCCAGAAGATACGATTCTAAAATGTGATTTGAAGTGGCGTGAAAGCGTCAAGTTGACTGAATCGACTCGAAGGCAAAGAAAATAGAACACGAGAACCGCACCGCAGATAGCACAACTTGTAGCGGCTGAGCACTAGAACGAGGGGTTTCGACTCTGAATTGGATCGGTTCGTAGTAGATAACCAGCTCACAACTTGAAACGCAAGGGTGACGGCACACTGGGACTGAAGAACCTAGAACTCAGATATGATTGAATACGATCTCGAGATAGCACAGGACAGGTAGTGAATACTCTTCTTCACTCTTCAAAGTAGGATATTGATTCCTTCAGCCTCGAGACCGAAAGCGAGTCAATTATTTCCCTAGGCCTCGAATCTCTCTTGATAAAGGGGGGCCGTGGGTACTAACATCCCGGGAGGCTGTAGTTCCTGAGAAGGGGAGGCTGGTTTTCTCAAGACGGTCTGTAAATACCCTCAATGATGACGACGGCAGGAGGGAAGAGGATTCTTTGAACAAAAGCATGTTTATTATTAGTTCTACTCGTGAAAGAGTTACTAGTGGCGCCATCAGGGACGTAAGCCCTCTTAGCTCAGTGGTAGAGCGCATCACTCGTACTGTACAGATATGATGAGGTCGGTTGTTCAATCCAGCCAGGGGGCATGATCTGCAACTCGTCACGTACTTTTTGTTCATGAACGCCGTTCATGGGTCTGCACAGTGAGCGGCAAAGAGAACCACATGGGCAATTGAGCTATTATCTAAATGACAGAACAAAGCAGTTCTTACCGGACGTCCAGAGAATTCAAAACTCCATCAACCCTGTATTCCTATACTGTACAACTCCATTCCAACTGCAATTTCATGAACGTGTGCTCCGCCGCAAAGCGGCAATGGGCGTCACGGACCTTGCTTGAAGCTGTAGATCCGGCTCGGAACGCCTGCGATGACATTGGCAGGCTACACGACTCGTTCCAGGTCTAGCTGTGAACCAGGTGCACTTGAATAAAACTTGTGGGCCTAAGGACAGAAGCTGATACCGACAACATACCGTATCTCTCATCCTGGAGACACTGTACACATACCGATACACATTCCGCCCCTCGATATCTGTCTTCATGCCACATGTCAACACCCAGGTAAAAACAACTTTCATCCGAGTCTTCATGGGGATTTTCCGATTCGAGACCCACATCAGGTGGACATAACCTCGAGTACGCGAGTCTAGGATATTTATGTCAATATTCATGACCACTGGTATGAGAAAGGGGGCGCAGACAGCAAGAATGGGCCTCGAGCCCGGTTCGGGGAGACGCGATGGGGTAAGGAGCGCCCGTAAGATAGTAATATTTCCGCCTTTGTACTTGCAACTATCTCCTCCCAAGTCTGCCTTTCCTCGCCGGACCTACCTTCATATCAAATATATGCGATATGATGCAGGTGGCCATCGATTATAGTTATGTTAGCCCAGCATGTCCCTATCTTACGACGCCACTGACGGGGTAGAGCCAAGTACTAACATCATCGACGTCTCGAGCAAGTGGCACGATCACCTGAACGTAGCTTTCCCCAGAGAGACGAAAATCGAGTAATCCCCCCACGTTCTGGAGATATAATTGGTTAATCGGTGGCTAGGAAACCGGAAAATCACAGCGGGGGTCCAGCATAAGCGGCCCGCAGTTTCGCACAGCTTCGATTTGAGACAACCCAACAGAAAGGTAAATGACGTCGCCTGCTATGAATCGAAAGAAGGAATGGACAAGGTCGACCCTGGCGGGCGCGGTGAGAACTGAAGGAACTTACAAGGGCTGATACGCCCGGGAGTTTCAAGGGCAAGTCCAATTGCTTGGGGATGCACGTATTCTCAGGCTCGGAGGTGTGAGGGCATTGATAATGGTGTTTTGAAGCGAGTTGTCAAAAGCTAAGTATTACAACAAGTCCGTGTGAGGCGCTAGCCTGAGCGGAACGGGGGATGTGGGTACAAGAACGAGCGGTGGATGGAGTGCGTCAAGGGCCAAGAAGGGATATAGAATATATACTACCAAGTCGCTGGATATGTAAAATATAAGCAAGCTATAACAATAGGATTTTGGTACAATGAATGGCGAGTTTGGGCTGACGAAAGCTGGTGTATGATGTGCAAGAAAAGTGAGGATAGAGAAAGGCGAAGCGAACTGGGATGATGATGGTGTCGGTGGTGATACAGTTGCAAGACGAGGGATAGATAGGGAATAGTAGTAGTAGAAGGGACAGTTGGACGTGATGAGTGATGCGAAGGGAGAACTATCAAAGAGATGAGATTTCTATGAAGCTCATCCCCCTCCAACTCCTCCGCTTCCCCGTGTGGGACTCGGTTCGTACTCGAGCGTCTTGGTCGGCCAAATCGATGAAGGAGTGAAGAGGTGTTGACAACGAGGGTAGAAGTTTGGGCGCCCTTCTCTTGGGGGCCGAAGTCAACCGAAACGTTGTGGAACGCTGCTCGTGAACGCGGGTTGAACCAACGTCAAATTCCAGTCCGATGTCGATGAAGGAGTCATCGTTCTCGTCCTCGGCGTCTGAATCATCGCTCATACTCATGAAGTCGTTGTACGGTTTCTTCTGAGATGGACGGGTGCGTAGCCACGACTCCCTGCCCTTCGAATACCACTGCGAAGAACGACCCTCAAGTCGCGCCAATGCGTCAGAACGTTTTGTCCGGCGATGACGAGTAGAGACGGTCGACGATGTAACAGTCGAATTCGACCGAAGTATCGAAAGAGGAAAAGTGTGACGAGAAGAAATGGCGGCTGTCAAGGAAGTCGAAGGTAGATTGGAGTCTTTAGGCAATAAGATCGAACTTGGCGTCGGACTGGAAGGAATAGGTGGGAGAGCCGTTGATGGAGGCACAGAACTGAAGACTTGCGTTAGAAATGAACGACAGAAGAACATACAAGTCAAACACACCTCTTTGTAGAGTTCATGCAAGAAAGAGATCTCTGTCTGCTGATCTTTGATCTTTGATGAACAGACCGTGTCGAGGTGATGTCTGGCAGAGAGCCACTTCGTTGGCGGGAGGGTTCATCCTGGCTGCATAGAGAAGCAGTGTGTTGGAAGCCAGACAGGAAGAAGGGAGAATAGGACATGGCAGGGAAGGCCGACAAGGCAAGGGTAAGGGCGCTGTGAGCGTACTGGTTCCATTCCGCAGGCTGGGGTTATATAGGAAGAAACAAAGAGAGAAACTAGCCGATCTTAGCAGGGACTTAGCAGACCTTAGCAGCCGCCTTAGCCATCCGGACATAGCGCGTAAAACAAAATAAATCTCAGATTTCGATTGGCCGCGATATTCCAAATTTGGATCTTCATCCGCAGGTACCTGTCACGCACACAACCTCACACAACAGGGTTTCATTTTCCATTTTCCAAGGGGGTCGGTGCATTTTCCGCCCAGCTCCACAGTCAAAGCAGGAGCGCTCCCCTCCACGCATCCATAACCTGAAGAAATCTTCATAATATGTTTGTAAAAATATCTGAACCTCGCTCGTTTATCGGATCTTCGTGGATCCCCCTCTCGCATATCACACTTCTCAGCAAATACCTTGCTCACCTTGTGTATTTTTGGCTGCGGGACGACTGCCGAAGTCAGCGGATTCAGACCACTCTGACTGCTCCTGCTGTGCCACAAATCCTAGCTCAAGTTCAATTGTCAATCAGTCCGTTGCCAGAATCGCCGTTCCCGAAATACCGAAGAGTCCAGTGGGCTACTAGTAGTACACAGTGGACTGGTTGCTATGTTGTCGGATGTGGGTAGTCTGTCTGCCTCGAGGTTCCTTCGGACCTGATAATCCTAGGAAGTGGGCGCTCAACAACACGAGGCCAAAGCGTGTCTGATGCAGACCGTATGTCAAGAAACATTACCTCCCGTCCCTCGTGTGTGCGTGCGTGTTTTTTTTTTTTTTTCGATTTAATATCAAACACTGATCCATTCACGAAAATACACTTGTCGTCAGTGCTAAAGCTCCATCCAGCGCTTGGCCTCAACAGGCTGCGGGTCGCGATTGCGGGCTCCACCTCCCGCGGAAGGTTTTATTACTCCTAGGAGCTGGTACTTGACAACCAAGGCCAATGTTTAGGTCTTTATCTCGACACAGTCTAAATCCATCGTATCAACGGCCGTGACGACTACCTTTCTCAGATATCCTCATCTATTCAACCTTGAACCTCTGCGGTATCGAAGTGGTGTCGGTCGTAAGTGATCAATACTACAGAACAACTGGGCGTTGTCATCGCTGCTCGAGGTTTTCGGTTAGAACCATCGGATTGCGATCTTCGCAGATAGCTCACTGAGTGGCTGGGAGCCTACTAATACCATACCTGTTGCCTTTCCCCCGATGTCTGTCCCTGTCCTTTGAGAAAAGTCCACCGCCACATTAAAAACGCCCAGCAACCTTGCACCCTCGTTTCTTCAGGAGAAGTCGTCCGGGACTCCTGAGCCCGGTGCAAGGTGCCCAGACCGACTTTGCTCCCGCCTCCGCCACATCGCTGTTGACCCTCATCGAGCTGTCTTTTGGGACAGACGTACGAGAATATACACGCCCTCCAACACCATTCGGAATTGAACGAGTATTCGATGGACTATTCAATCATCAGTGTAATTACGAACTCGCCACTTCTCAGAATGGAACGCCTCAGTACTTACTCCTGCCTCCCGTGGGTGAACACACGTCTGATCCGCAAGCGGCCTCAGAGTCAGAGCAGTGCTATGTGGGTCTCACTTATGACGAAAGGGTCGTGGTCTTACCACCTATCATTCTCAGCAATCACTGCGAAAGACTACTAGCCTCATACCTCGTCATCGAGCCACAGGGCAACATCTCGATCGGGAAGTTGTCACTCGGGGGCCCCAAAACACATGCACATCCCACAGGTAGAAATCGAGCGACGGGGGTGAGGCTAGGAGTATGTTCTCCTTTCCAAGGAGAGCTTATCACGATTCTCAAGGCTTGAACGGCAAGACGCTCAACCTTGGGCAGGGCAGGATCGGCGGATGCTCACGAACAAGAAACACTTACGGGTACCTTAACCTGGGTGAGTGAACGAGCACTTAGATTCGTACCAAAAAAAACCTTAGCTCATACATAAATGCGGGGAGATCTTACCAGCTACAATCACTCCTGAACACGGGGAGAATTCAGACCCACGGGACACGTCCTTTCTTGTCGGGACCCAGCCAAATGAAGAAAGAAAAAAACCGGGAGCGATATTCGTCTATGACGGGAAGACAGATGTGCATGGATCCGGACAGGATAGCTGGGTCATCTTCGAACCTCGTTATCGATGCGTGTATCGTGACTGTATGGATTAAAAGTCACCCTGGACAAGTACGAACTGCCTTCTGATACTACGCTGCCTCGAGTACGAGTCGCACCATGTTGAACCACCCTGCTCTTGTCGATGCTCCCACACCTTGGTGTTTCAACAGTCCTCGACCCAGAAGTTCTCCCATGGATGATCCCGCACCTCTTGACGACGCAGCGCCGTGTCGGGGGGACAGGGTAAACTCAGTGCGCGTCCTTCCCATAAAGGCAAGTACTGAAACGTACCATGATGCATCGAACACGTTTGACTCAATTTTTTAATTTTTGAATCCACGGTTGTCGAGTTTGCACGGACCGGAGTGTACCGCC